TTTTGTACATCGACTGTTACAAAACAAGGCCGACGGAAAATTGGTTCCCACAGAAGGCAGACCCGCAGAATCCGAGGGAAACCAGGAAAAAGTAGACTCAGTTCAGTTAGAATTTACTTATCTACTCACGTCCCAATTGGAGGAACAAAGGACTTACTTTGAGGAAAGAATGGCACAGTAAGTTCACTTATAAGAATTAGTTAAGACGTTAAATGAGAAAGATAAAAAATTGCATTTTTGTTTTAGACTGGACAGTCAAGCTGCAGCTGATATAAAAATTTTACGGGATAAATTAGGCGCACTTTTTGAAGAAAACAAGCAATTAAAAGCAAGACTGGCTGAAACAAACAAAGACAAGCAATCGTTAGAAAGAAAAGTAGCTCAACAAGCAAGCAGGTATGTCTTCTATGCAATTTATTATTAATAAGGAGAAAATAGCAAACGCTTTATTTATCAAGTATGTGATGAATTGTTTTTATTTTGTGAAAATTCATAACGTAACTTTATACTGAAAAACACTTTTAAGTATGTTAAATTGTTTTGCTGTATCTAGCTTTCTAATGAGTAACAATAAATGGAGAATTAAAGTAGTGCGATTGCTTTTGCTGATAGGTTGTCTCTTATCACAAATGAATTAAATGAAGAGAAACAACTGGGAAAAGCCTTGAGAAACAATCAGCAGCAGTGGCAGAATAAAATTACTAAACTTGAAGAAAGTTTGAATGAATTGAAGACAACGAAAGAAAATGAAATTGCAGAACTAAAAGAACAAATACGGGATTTAATGTTTTACATAGATGCCCAACAAGTAAATGAAATACATATACATATTTTTACTTTCTGTTTATTCATTAATTTCTTTTGTCTTTTATAAGGTGATAGCAAAATCTGATAACAAGGACGAAATAGCAAGTGGAACAGTTACAGTAGGGGAAGCACCTCAACAGCAATCAAAAAGAAAGCACAGAGGCAAAAAGAAAAGTTAAAATTTGCACAAGTATGGAACTATTGTCTTTGAAAAACTGTCGATATATATATATAGAAACATTATGTGGTATGTGTAATTTATTTCAACTTTTTTATTTAGTATATTAAATTGAATATTTGTATTAGTATTTTCCTATTTGTTTATTAGTTATGGCGTTATCGATTTAAATTATTTTTCACAATGACAATAGACCACTTGTCTACAAAAACTGATGGTATGGTTTATGATTTTTTAGAAAACAATGAAGCAGAAGAAATTGAAGAAAATGCAGCAGCTAAGAACAATTCAACAGTTAAAAGAAAGAAAAAAGAGATTAGTGTCGAGACATTTCCCAGTAGGTTAGAGAAGCCCCAGGAAGACTGGGGTCTTTTGCCAGTCTATTCCAGAGAAGCAACTCCACTACAAGAAAAGGAACATACTCCAGAAGATCCCAATGAAATTGGCTTTTTTAGTGGAAATCCTTTTGTTGAAGTCACCAAAGGAATTCTACACCTTTATAAAGAAGAGTAAGCGAAGACAATTAAATTTTTATTAATTCTTTATGAATCAGTATGTAATAATTTTATATCTTTAGTGTTTTAAGTAGTTCTGAAGAAGCTTTAACGCTTTGTTTGTTGGGTGTTCCTACTTCAATGACTTGCCATGATCTTTTGGCCTTCACTGCCCCCTGTCACGCAGAAATCGCGCATATAAGAGTCCTCCGCGACTCCACACCAAATCAGTACATGGCATTATTAACGTAAGTTTTCTTTGTATATATTTGCTTACTTATTTATGTCTTATTATATTGTTTATTTTTAGTTTTCGTAATCATGATGCAGCCAATGAGTTCTACGAAACTTTTAATGGCGCGCCGTTTAACAGCTTGGAACCGGATAGTATCTGTAGGGCTGTTTGGGTGTCAAGGGTGGAATGGGCTCACGACGACCTGCCTCCTCCTGGGCACACTGAGTTACCCACTTGTCCTGTTTGTTTAGGTATCCAAATCATTTAT